GATATGTCCACTCGTGATCGTCTCTCGGATAAAATGACATTCAACTTCAATATGTTTTGTCCTCTCATGATATACCGGATTTGATGCGATGTGCATTGCAGCTTGATTATCACACATGAGTTGAACCGGTTTTGTGTTTCCATATTTTAACTCTTGGAGGAGATGCTTCAACCATAAGATTTCACATGTAGCAAGAGCCATTGCACGATATTCTGCTTCAGCACTAGATCTGGCAACCACATCCTGTTTCTTACTTTTCCATGAAATTAAGTTTCCACCAATCAAGATGCAATATCCCGAAGTGGAACGTCTATCCATCGGACATCCGGCCAGTTCTGCATCACAGTATCCCACAATATCATGGTGGCCTCGATCTTCAAACAACAATCCTTGCCCTGGAGTTTTCTTGATGTATCTCAAAACTCGGATAGCTGCATCCCAGTGTCCAGTACATGGTTTATCAAGAAACTGACTAAGAACACTTACCGCAAATGAAATATCTGGTATTGTGATGGTAAGATAATTCAATTTGCCGATGAGTCTTCTATATTTTTCCTTGTTGGGCAAAAGATCTCCCTGTTCTAGATAAGAGTTTAACGTTCGGATCCATTGGTGTATCCACTGGCCTGCAATCTAGCAAACCTGTTTCCTCCAGAATATCCAAGGCATACTTTCTTTGTGAGAGAGCAATTCCATCTTGAGACTGTGCGACCTCAATGCCAAGGAAGTATCTCAACTTTCCCAAGTCTTTTGTTTGAAATTTGCTAAACAAATGTTGCTTGAGGAGCGCAATTCCTTGATCATCGCTACCTGTAATGACAATGTCATCAACATACACAACAAGATAAATACATTTGTTGCCAGCGGATATATCATTATATTTATCTATATAATGAGTTTCACTGGGTTATCTGCTACATCCAGTTCAGACAACTAATCATTTGTTCCGTTCTCTTCTTATGGTTCTTCCATCAAGACAAATTGATAATGTTTCATTCCACCAACATGCTCTTTGTTCCATTTGTTTCCACATTTGAAGCATAGGCCCTTTTTACTTCTTTCTTCTAACTCTGCTTGTGTCAATCTTTAGCCTCCCTCCCATGTCTTATTCAGTTTTGGTGATTCCTCCAGATTGTTCTCTGAACTTGTTCTATCAAACGTCTCCTTGTTCTTTGAATGTGTTCTCTCAGGAGTCCATGACTGAATAGGGCGTGTTCTTCCCATCGCTGCTGCAGTTCAAATGCCTGATCGTTGTCCCTCCCTGTTCTTTCCAGCACTTTTTGTCTTCTTCCTTATGTATCCCTGATCTCATAGCAGTGTTTTTCTCTTCTAACAGCAAAGCTCGATCCATTAATTCAAATAGAAAAGCGGGTGGATAAAGTTTCAGCTCAGTTCTCACCTCATCCTTCAAGCCATTCAGAAAAATTCCCTGCAGCATATCTGTATCAGTGTGCCTCAGTGATGCGACTACCAGTTCAAATCTCTCCCTATAATCCAAATGGATTTTGAACAAATTCCAGTTAGAACCTTCTGATTAATGCTACTCTGAACTGTTCCCATGTCTGTTCATCATTTTGTCCCTCCCATCATTGGCCTCCAAGGAAATGGTTACCAACTCAACCTTATCATCTTCTGGTATGTTATTCAACTTGTAAAACCTTTCTACCCTGATGGTCCACCCATAAGCATCCTCGCTGTTATTAACGGAAGATCAATCTTCCTTCCAGTTCTAACGAACATTTTGTTCGCACGGGTTTCACGCCGAAACTTACCACTGGAGCACGACCAACTCTTGTTGTTCGACGGCGATTGCTTATGCGAGTGTCGCGATTTCGCAAATGCCCCCTGGATCACTTGTAACTGTTGTTAAGTAAGAGTAGATGCATATCCTCCGTCTTTGATCGTATTCCATCCATATCTGATCGTATTCCATCCATGTCCGATCATACTCCATCTGTATCCGCTCGAATTTATTCCAGGTTCCGTTCCACCTTGTCCACTCGGTTTTCCATCTGCGTTCATGTAAGTGGCATCCACCATAACCCAGGAAATGACGCTCTGATAGCAATGATAGAGAACCAGTTTCGTAATTTGAATCTGACGTCTATTAAGAAGGAAATTTCTGAAACGGAATGGAAAATACATGAGGCAAGTTCGAGGGTGCCAAGTCCCAGCCCAAACCCAATTTCTCCCTCCCCTTTTCCGCTTACATGCGCTTATTATAATACTCCCATAATGGGCCGGCCCTCAATCAATAAATTGTTGGGCCTAAAACCCTCTAACCCCTCTTATTGTACAATATTAAGCTACTTAATAAGAGAAGTGTCGGATCCCTATCAAAATTACATAATACGGGGTAAACAAGTTTTGGAATCACTTCATTTATAGATGTCTTAACAAAGCATTTTATAAGAGTTCCTCTCTCCAAACGCACTAGGTTTATGATAGTCCAGAACACTAGCAAACAAGTAGATGTTTATTGAAAGATGGATTCTAAGAAAATACTCAGAAATTCATAGAGGATTTACAAACGAAACAGAAGAAAAGAAAAAGAAGAACAGTTTAGAGACACTTCAAGTAATTTCGCACTCACAATTCCCAGTCCGATCCCAAAGTCTGCCTACCTCCCTTTTCCCCCATCGGCTCATTATTATAAAACTCTCCTAAAGGGCCGTCCCTCCACCACTAAGTAAGTAAGTAAGTATTGGGCCTAGAACCCTTTTGTTATACATTAAAATACCAAATATAATTCGTATTAGGAGGAGTGTCCAGGTCCCTATCACCACTCCCCCTTTAACTACTACCTTGTCCTCATGGTGGGTAATAAGAGACTGATCTGGCATTTAGTTTCACTGGGTTATCTGTTACATCCAGTTCAGACAACTAATCATTTGTTCCCTTCTCTTCTTCTGGATCTTCCATCAGGACGAATTGATGATGTTTCATTCCACAAACATGCTCATTGCTCCCTTTGTCTCCACATTTGAAGCATGAGCCCTTTTTACTTCTTTCTTCTAGTTCAGCTTGAGTTAACACTCTGCCACTCTTCCCACTCTGATTAAGTACTGCAGACTTCCCTATTATGCTCTCTGAATCTGTTCTCTCAGAAGTTGGTGGATTAATGGCATGTGTTCTTTCTTTAACTCCTTCCACCCAGTCCAATGGTCTGACCATAATACCTTCCTTTTCCTGCCAAACTCTTTTGTATTCATCCTTGAATCTCCCTGATTCCAGGGCTGCATTTTTCTCTTCTAACAGCAGTGGGTTATAAATTAACTCAGATAGGGATCCAGACGGAAACAATTTGAACTCGGCCCTCACCTCCTCTTTCAAGCCATTCAGAAATATACCTTTCAGCATCTTTGTATCAGTATGTCTCATGGGGCTACTGCCAGTTCAAACCTCTCTCTATACTCCATCATGCTCTTCGTCTGCTACACACCTAACATTGGTCCATAAGGCATTTGAACTAGTTTAGGTTGAAAATGTCGAATTAGGGCAGCTTTGAACTGTTCCCAGGTGTGTTGAACGGTCTGACCCTCCCACCATTGGAACCAATTCGAAGCTTTCTGCTCCTTAGCGATGGTCACCACTTCAATTTTATCCTCATCATTAATATTATTCATTTTTAAAAAAAAAACTCTCTACATGAATCATCCACCCGTACGCATCCCCCCCTTTAAACACCGGTAAGTCCACCTTCCTTCCCGTACGAGAATAACACCGATTTACAGTAGCTTGCGGGATCGTTGAAGCAATCGTCCTCTTCTCCCCTGGTCATCACCATATAACATCAAATTCTTCAGTTCATCCACCGTCACGCGCAAGCCAAGCAGCTCATCCACGGTGGTTTTTACTTCTGCTAGGGATTTAACTTCGATGCTTTCCACACGTTGTTCCATTCTCGATCGAGTATAGATCATGCACAGGTATAGCGATTGTCACTATTTGATACCAATGATGGAGTCCAGAACATTAGCAAACGAGTAGATGTTTATTGAAAGATAGATTCTGAGAAAATACTCAGAAATCCTTGGAGGATTTACAAACGAAACAGAAGAAAAGAAAGAGAACAGTTTAGAGACACTTCGAGTAGTCTCGCACTCCCAATTTCCAGTCCGATCCCAAGTCTCCCTACCTCCCTTTTCCCCCATCGGCTCATTATTATAAAATTCTCCTAAAGGGCCGTCCCTCCACCACCAAGTATTGGGCCTAAAACCCTTTTATTATAGATAGTACAATATTAGAATACCAAATATTATTCTTATTGGTAGGAGTGTCCAGGTTCCTATCTGTTTATCCATCTTAGACATTTAAAACAAGTATGCATAAGTTAACCTACGATGAAAATGGTTATGAAAAATGATAGGTTCCTCGCAATTCCAGCACAATCACAAGACAAACAACAATCAACAATGCACAAACAATCAAAGGAAAACTAGATCACAATTCTCAGAAACAGTAATTCTCATTAACAATGGTAGATCGTGTACACAGTCCCAAAGAAGGAGATAGAACTCCAACTTCCTAGTCCCAGACAAAGTGTCTAACTGCCTACCTAGCCCTGGCAGATTTTATTTTATTTATACCCTTCCACAACCGGAAGGTAGTTATTAGTCAACACAGCTCTACTTACTAATAACTAGTTTGTCTTGACCTTCTAGTATAGACAAGCCCTTTGTATCTATTTTTACTAGCTAGTCTACCCGGGTACTTATCAAAAAATAATCTCATTATCCTCTGTGAGAAGGCTACAACATGAAGGACATTTGGCGTCATAACTTTGGCACTGGCTTTTTGCATGAATTTATAGCACTATATAAATTAACTAACATTGTATTCATGCTAATAAGCACAATTACTCAGGATTAAGGTAATGATGTTGATCGTGAATGTCACGAGAAATGAAACAACATGATATTAGCTGTACCACAACACTTTTGACCGTCAGAGCATAACAGGTTAAGGAAAAAAATGAGTACTCAATTTAAAACACTCACCGTTCTCCAAACATAGCTGATCTGCCTGTTTGTGACCTTCGTATAAAAGAACTTTATCCAAAATCTCTACTTCCCATGATGACAGAGGCATTTTAACTTGTACCATCTTTTCAGATGCATATGAATCACTCTCAGAGGTATAAAGGCAGCCTGATTGACGATATCCAAGAGCTTCTATAGGATAGAAGTTGGAAGAACTTGAAAACGAAGGGAGGACTACAGAGATGCCATTTTCCCTCACCAAGTACAAACAACCTTGAAAAGTGCAACCAATTGCTTCATTTACAATAGCCTCCCAACCTTGGACATTATAGCTTTTGTCATCATTCAAAGTTAAATCTACATGCAAATTAGAGTGAACAAGGCGGCATTTGTTTTTCTGTTGAGGGCTTCTCAATTTAATAAGCCGAGTTATTCCAAATGGTGACATACAAATAACATCATCTTCTTGAAATTTATAGGCAGGAAGAACAATATTTCTCATATGACAGGAGGGTATCTGACAACCAAGAAACTCAGAGCAGTTTCCCAAAATTGGATCCTTAAAATCACTTTCAGATATTTTCATAAACCTCTTTTTTTGCACACAGCAATTAAAAGAAGACTTCTTAGTAACAGACGAATGACTTGTCTTCCCTTCACCTGATATATTATGAGACACCCTCTTGTAGCCAATGTCAGCACCACCTACCTCCCACGCTGCTCGTGGTGCAAGTCTAAGATCTTCACAACATGGGAGCAGATTCTCGAGTGAGTGATACTTCTTTGGGATATAATCAGAAGCTTGTATTACATAACTAACACCCTGTTGATCAATCACACCTAAAGTTAAGGCATTCCTAATGACAAAAATCCTTTCAAACCTCTTCTGGTGAACAAGAAAACCAGAATTATTATATATCTGATTACTATAATCCTTGTCTGAAGAACAACTCCCAACAAGCTTCACATGTGAATCTTCTTTCTCTTGAGATACTATGGAAGTGAAAGGCCCATAAATACGTGAAAGATCTAGACATGAAATATACAAACCACTTTTCACATCATAAAAATGTACTAATCCAGAGGCATTAAGACATATAAGAAAAGCATGGGAAAGCCTAAAGTCTGTCCAGTCGACGGCTGCTGTCATTTCGACATTTTTGACTAGTGGCACTTTAAAAACCCACTGTAATCCACAACTAACTAGCTTTGCCACGGCAACTAAGACTTTACTATTTTTCCTTTCATTTGTGGCAGGCACACTTTTGGAAGCTGTTAAGGCAAAGCCAATCAAGCATTGTGAAGCATTAGAGAATACTCTTAAACAACTGTAAGAGCCTATAGTGGTGGGCAGGGAATCTGCATATGCATTGTCCTGATGATCTAATATTGACAGATCACTAACATCTTTTTCATGTGATGATGAATTTCCATGAGATAGAAAATCCAAAAGCAGTGAATCATTGCCAAAAAGGCGAAAAGAGATTATCATAGCAGTGGAATCAAATAATGAACTGTCTGGGAATCTAGTATATAGTACTCCATCAGAGACTAATGTTTCAACCTTGCTTAGCAATGTGCGCATCCATCTTTTGTTAGAATTATTGTCAAATGACATCTCATTCGTAACTTTTGTACACATGCGATATGGTCTTGCCTCGGTTGCACCATTCCTGCTGAGATCTAAAACATTGAAGGAATCGTCACACTTTCTGTCAGACACTTGGTCGAACTCCTGAGATAGTGTTGATGTATATCCTGGCCCCCACTCAACCCATAATCCTTGTCCAGTGTCACAGTCTGGTGTGGATCCCATGACTCCTTTGTATGCATAAGATTGACTAAAAGCATGAATTGTTACCCCATGATTGCCAGATACAAAGAGGAGTTCTCTAAAATGTTTTTCCCCATCCTGACCATAAGTGTCTTCACATATACCCCAAGTAAGGGAGTTTACATCATTGATGTAAGGGTAATTATTACACCTTCTCGGAAGTCTTTCCGCAGTATTAACACTGTCCAGTTCAATTGACACAGAAGTGCCTGGTATATCACCCCCCTGCTCTGCTAAACAAGGTGCCACACATGTTGGCATACATGATGCCCGAGAAGTTGAATCCCCAAAGTTTAAGTGATTACAGTTTTCTGGATTTTCAATATGTTTCTCTGTGGAGAAAGAAGGAAATCGATGAGAAGTACTACTTGCCAATGGAATTGTAGAGGAGCAAAGGAGTAACATAATTTACCTCTGACCAGAGGTAGCAATAGAGCTTCGCAATGATATGACAGTAATACCAAATTTCCCCTTGTTGGAGATATAAAACCTTCACGGAACTCTGAAAGTTCAAGTTGGTGTTCGAAAAGGTCCCATTTCTGTAGTTGCAATATAGGAGGGGCTTCATCATGAGAAAGGATCAGCATTTTATGTCCTGTGAATGCAATTATTTTTTGTTAAAAAATCAGCCACACAGAGAAGAAATAAGATTGTATCAGCAAATCATTAGAAGAATATGTACATAACATATATATTACCATAGTAAACCTAAAAACAGAGCCATACAGAGAAATCTTAACGCACCACTGTGACATACAATGTTGTAAGCAATACAAGACACCCACCTAGTAGTCGACTGTGACAAACTCCTAGTATGAGATTAGGGTTAGGCAGAATGTAAGTGGAACAATGCAGGGCCTAGTCGCAATACAGGAGGGGCTTCACCATCAATGTGGATCTGCAATTTACATCCTGTGAACGGATTTTTTTTTTAATAAACCAGCCACATAGGAAAGAAATAAGGTTCTTCTAGCAGAAATCATCAAACAATAAAAGAGTATGGGCATATACATACATACATACATACATACATAGATATATATATATAGAGTAATCTTCCTGTCAGGACGTCCGGATCGGACGCCGCCGTCTGGACCTCGGCATTTGGGCCCCTTCCCGGTGGAATTTTTTGGGCATGTTCTACATCAAGTCTAGTTTATCCACAAAAAAGTTTCAGCTAAAAATTCGATCAGGGAGGCAGTCAAATAATTTTTGGAAGAAAACTGCGCCAAAATATACATATAAAAAACGCAGATATCTTCAAAAAATTATTTGACTGCCTTCCCGATCGAATTTTTAGCTGAACCTGAAATGTTTTGTGGATAAACTAGACTTGATAAAGAACATGCCCACAAAATTTCATCGAAGAATTCCAACGGGAAGGGGCCCAAACGTCGAGGTCCGGACGGCGGTTCCTGTCCAAACGTCCTGACATGAACTTTTCTCTCTCTATATATATATATATCACATTATCACAATAATAAATAATAAAACAGAAATACAGAAGGATAAAGAAATAGACAAAGCCATAAAAAAACTCAATGCACCATTCTGATATAAAATGTTGTAATAAGCGCTAGACTACAAGAGGCTAGCTTAGCGGCAGACTGGGACTAACGCCTAGTATGAAAACTATGCAGGGCAGAACCCAGGAAAAAAGCTTGGCCTCCAACAGTCTAGTGCCAAGGCGCAGATTTTACAATGGTGGCATACAATTGGTTGTGTCTATGTGGACTTAATTGCATTGTATCTTGAAACATACAAATAGGGATGCTATTACTCGCACAATCTGTGGATGCAAAAAGATAGTAGATTCTAGCACCTCAATACTACAGTACAAGAATATGATGAAACTCAGTTTTTATCTAGCACCCATTCATTCTATTCATAATTACCTCTCTAGACTGGCCTATTGTCCTTTGTCCTTTCAATCTCTCCATTTATATAATCTTTGCACATTAACTATTTTTACCAATATGAATTCAATTTACCTTATCCCAAGATGAACAAAAAAGAGATATTGATTTATAACAAGGGACTTTTAGGCAAAGTATTACTCCCCCTGTCTCATTTTGTGTGTCACTTTCACTATCCATGCAGTCAACCTAATTCCCTTTTTATTCTCTGATTTTTTGTATCGAATTTCTAATACATTAATATCAGTTTTAGTGTGCTTTCTGAATATGGAGACTTTAGATATTAAATTATTAATACACATTGAAATATTATTATGGGAGATTTAACTTTGATTTCAATCAGTCCGAAATAGGATACATAAAAAAGACTGCGGAAGTAAAAGTATTGATCAGTTCATAAATTATACTCCCTCCATCCCCTTTTAAATGTCCCGGAGGAGGGTGGCGCGAGTTTTAAGAAAAGTGGGTTTGTGTGGTTGATATTAATTGATAAAGTAAAAAAAAGTAAGAATGATTTTGAGCCACACAAACTTTACCAAATAAGGTATGAGACAATTAAATAGGGAAATCCCAATATAGTAAAACGGGACATTTCAAAGGGGACGGAGGGAGTAATACACATTTACTAAAATTGTGAGACTCGGTCAACGCAGACAAATAAACAGAAAAGGAAGGACTATTCAGCAGTCTCCCAATGCAAAATGATATGATTAAAACTTCAAAAATTCGTGGTTTTTAAAGTTTCTTCCTAAAATAATGAGTGTCCTGACTTGAAGACGCATACAACAACATCCAAGCCGTAGTCCCAAGAGAGTTTGAGGCCGGCTAACATGAATCGATATATGAAATCAGAGCTAAAAAAAGATAAAAAGGATAAGATAAGATATAAAAAAAATATCAGATGAAAAAGATAAAAAGATAGAGAAGTAAAGAAAGATTAAAGAGAAAACGGGATCAATCCTCCACACGAGGAAAAGAGAAAAAGGGAAAAAGGAAAAAAAAAAAAAAAAGTTGAAGACACAGATTTGTGAAAAACTCCATCTTTAGATATAACTCAACATACATGATAAAGAGCTACAAGACTTCAGCAGTCTCCCAATGCAAAATGATATGATTAAAACTTCAAAATTTCGTGTTTTTTAAAGTTTCTTCCTAAGATAATGACTGTCCTGACTTGAAGACACATACAACAACATCCAAGCCGTAGTCCCAAGAGAGTTTGAGGCCGGCTAACATGAATCGACATATGAAATCAGAGCTAAAAAAGATAAGAAAGATAAAAAATGATAAGATAAGATAAAAAAAAATATAAGATGGAAAAGATATAAAAAATAAAGAAGGTGAGAAGATTAAAGGGAAAACAGGATCAATCTTCCACACGAGGAAAAGAGAAAAAGGAAAAAAAAGTTGAAGACACAGCTTTGTGAAAAACTCCCTCTTTAGATATAACTCAACATACAAGAGAAAGACCTACAACATCATTCACCACTGGCATTGCATTCTTCCACTATATTGCTTTAACATCAGCAAAAGTCTAGAACCAGGCTGACAGGCTGTTATGCATCCATTGAAGAAATGATAGATTAAATATTTCCAATACCTTATTAGTGAATGCCATTGTAAAACTATTAATCAATCTGATATGGCCTTCGCGCAATTGCTACAATGCTGCTAAATACTAATCTTTCGAGGATAAGATTATATTACTAATCCACACTCAGTTTCAATCATAGCTAGCCTTAAGCATCTGACTGGATGGAGTAGAAGGGATAATTTCAATGTTGAATGCCAAAATTAACATGAAATTAATTCCAGCCCCAGTATTATGGGTCCCCAACTGAAAATACGTTCTATACTAGATTGACATGCAAAACTGGGACTACCATAGCCAGAAAAATCATCATTAGATGATTAGTGATCTAAACTCATATATAGCCTCACGAGCGAATAGTTTCATTGGCAAATAGGATGTGCTATATTCCCAAATCCAAGAGCAGACAAGCAAGAATTCCTACTTATGAAAGGGTAAGCGTCTGTACGCATGAATCAAAACCAATGGGAAAAAATATTGATGATAGTATACATATATATGAACCAGAACAAGAAGCAACTGTAACAGCAGCAGGAAAAAATGACAGTGAAGTCATATGGAAACCAACAGATGTAATTTCCATTTCCACAGTATAAAAGTATTTCTAAAAGATAGTGGGGACAATGTAATATATGCAGCCAGATATCATGAAGGCGGCTTATATATATGTAGTCAGTGCATGTTAACAGTACAACCAGAGTTAGTATGTGCAAACTGCAAACAAAGTAAAATGAGTCTGAAAACAATTTAAAGGGTCAGTCATACAGTTCGGTTGGAAATCGGGTTCAAGCCCTAGCATCACTTGGATCAATCATAGACTTTGATTTCCACAATTCCACCCAATGCTTCTTTCATCGACTTCCCATGCAAACAGTATATCATCCCATGGGTAGCACTGCAGTTGAACGTAAAAGCCGGTGAGCAAACGAATGGAGTAGAAACAACAGAGGGATTATTTTCGGGTGGGACAGACGGAGGTGCTAAGGGAGGTGGTGGAATGTGATATCGAATTAAGCATGTTTGGTCGGTAAGTTTACTAGCGTAGTTACTGACTTTTTTGCAATATTTTATATCGAAAACTAAATGGTTTCTTTTTCTCCTTAAATTAGTTAAGATTTAAAAAATACATATTAACACCTAAGGAAGGACATAAAAACACAGAGTACTTCACTTTCAATTTGTTTTATAAAATTAAACAATACGCACACACATATATAGTACTCACTACTCACAGTGGTTGAATGTATTATTAGTAAGGAATAAAGGTGGTAAACTTAAAATCATGGTTTAAAAGGCGCACCTCGCTTCAGGCGCATAGAACAGGAACTGGGGCTTAAGCCCTTTTTGAGAGATAAGAGGCTTACACCTCAGATGTGAGGACTTACACTTTGACGTGTGCCTCACGATATTTTTTTGAGGCAGGTTCTTTTTTCTTTCATTTTACAGTGTGGCTGTAATAAACAAAAGGCCCAATGAGTAATTTAAGAACAGGCCCATGCATTATATACTTTATAAACCTAAATAACTGAAAGCATCTATCAAATACTTTCTTATTTCCATCATTTGTAATGGAGCCAAAGACTCACTATTTTTTTGCTTGGGAATATGATGGAATAAAGCAAAATGACTTAGGGTCTGTTTGCAACAGCTTCTGCTTTTAAAAAAGTGCTTTTTTTAATGAAATGGGGAGAAATGATTAAATAAAAGTTGATAGTGTTTGAGAAAAAAGTGATTTTAAAAAGTAAAAGTGGGTAGTGTTTGGTAAAATAAGTGCTTTTTGTGTAATAGAAAAAGTAAAAGCACTTTTGACGCGGAAGTCGAGAAAAATAAAAGTTGTAGTGTTTGGGAAAATAAGTGCCTTTTTAAAGCCAAAAGCTCAGAAGTACTTTTTAAAAAGTAGTTGCAAACCAACCCTTACTAAACTGCCTGCGGTTACAAGTTATGAAGTAGCACCAGTCAGTCCATGCAATTTTCGACGCGATTTTCACTATGGGTCATCCGGAAACAGTGTTTTAGTACAGAGGCAAGGCTGCATACATCCGACCCCTTCTTACCCCACCGTAGGTGGGAGCCTTTGTGGCACTGGGGTAATGATAATGATGATCTATCAAATACTTTCTTCTCCGTCACAGAGTAGTCAACAACTCACAAACGCCGAACCTTCTGCTTTAAGATGTCGAAAAGCTGCTATCTTTCTTCTAGGTATTTTACACAGTTGCACCTACAAGAATGGGAGGACTTTGATAGTGATGATGAGAGGGATGATTGTGATAAGGCTTTAAGATATATGATTCTTCCAAAGGACCTTCAAGTCCTGAGGATTATGATGGTTAAGCTTCCAGATTTCTAAATTGTGTCATTTGCGTGATGTGTTTGTTTGCGCGCTTGAATTCTCATTTTGAATCATTGTGTCATTTTTGTATTTTTTATAACAATGTCTATGTAATATGATCTATTTTAATTACAAGATCAAAGTTATATAAATAGTGAATGTCAGAGTATTCTGATTAATAGAATGCAGTACACAATTTGTATATTATGTATATATACGGTATACGGAGTACAATAAATCTATGTTGTTAGAATTGGAATACAAGGTGAACCAGTGTGGAGACCGGTTCAAGGATTAGACCAAATCAGGTGGGTCAGTCCGGTCAAGGATGGGTTGACCGGTCAAGGTTGCACACGCACACACATCCTACTAAAAAATTAATGTATTTAGAAACAAAAGAATCAATGTACCTCCAAAAACATATCCACATTCGGCAACTATAATACTTTTAACAACAATGCATTATTGCATTAAAGTTTGAAACTTGCCAAATGTCTCCACTAATAGTTTTGTTTTCCTTATTCACACTCTTAATGCAGCCACAATTAATAGTTAAATAGAAGAGAAATGCTATTGGTACCCCAAAATGGGGTACCCATTCTTACCCCGGCCTATGCAACACAGAATAGTATTGTGTTCCTTCACGACTCAATTCAATAATTTTCTAGAAAAAACAACTTGATCTATAGTCTTGAACTCCGTATCACTTTCCTCTTCTCTCTAGAATAGACATTTGTTATCCCATGAGACGTGTTTACTCTCAGTAGCACAGCGCCTCACAACCAAAGGAGAATACACAGTTTCGTTTGATTAAAAACTACTAAAAAGATTAGAATAATCGACTGATTAAGATACAAACCCACAAAAAGAGAATAGAATCGGCGCATATACGCAATTCAAATCAAATTCAGGTTCAACCATACACCATTCATGCAAGATTATGCAAGATTTTATTACTGCATGTATTGCTTACCTTTTTTATGAAGATTCCTAGTTATGCTTCCCAGTGATGCGCTGACGCTTGCTGTCTGAAATCCGGTTGAGAGATCAGGACGAAGTGTCTGGGGTTGGTAATGGTTAGGAACTTGGTTTGGCGTGATTTTACCAATTTGTCTGGGATTAGATAGATCCTTATTTAGACTTGTACATATTCTTTCCCATAAGTATCTTTAGTTTTATCGCCGGGATTCCGGCGCCCCCGCCTAGCTGGGCCACCGGTTCTCTATTGTCGTATTTTACGAGTTAACCACCATTGGATGGGTTTGGGACGGGTCAACGGGTTCCAAAAATGGATCCGGTCAGTTCCAGTTTTTTTTTTGTTTTTTTTCCGGTCAGTTCCAATTTTATAACGTATTTGTGTCTTGTTCTTAAACTTTTTCTATTAATAGAAAGACTTGAAGTCGTAAAAGTGTAAGGGTGTTTAGAACTGATTTTGCTTCTGCTTCTTTTTTAAAGCAAAAATCAGAATTAGTTTTTTTAGAAGTTTGGGGTACCAGCTTCTGAAAACTGATACTCTAAATTAGAGCACTAGAAGTGCTTCTGGAATTTCACCCAAACACTCCAGCTTCTGCTTCTGCTCCTTGAAGGAGCAGAATCAGTTTTGAGAATCAGATCCAAACACCCCCTAAAAGTACTCTTGGAAACTGTTCTCTTCGTCTTATTTGAATTTTTAAATATATGATCAGATGATCTGATTTGAATTTTTCTGATTTGATATGATCTGATATGAATCTTTCTGATTTGAATCTTTGTGATCTGATATGAGTCTTTCAGATCTGATCTGAATCTTTCAGATCTGATCTGGATCTTTTCTGATATGAATCTTTCTGATCTGATCTGAACTGATCTGAATATTTCTGATCTGAATCCTTCTTATCTGATCTGAATCTTTCTGATCTGATTGAGTGTTTATTACATTATTATTGTTATTGTTGTTGTTGCTGTTGTTATTACTATTATGATTATAGTAATAATAATAATACGTCGAATGATCTCATCTTCCTTCTTAGCTCCACATTTGTTCTTCATGCACTCCTGTATTTAAAGACTAAGATGTTGAAGGTCTTCCATTGGCTGAAGAGATTCAATCTTGACCGTTGCTTTGATCCACTTGATTCTTCTACTTGACTGAAAGGCAACATGGTTGGTTTTTGTCATTTTGTGGCACATATTGTTTCTTCACCTCAACTTGTATTCCTCATTGTAAGGAATAATTGTACTTAGATTTTGATGATGCTAGGATATATTAGATTTTTAAAGTACCCCTTTTTAGAAATTTTGTATTAGAATTTTTCTTTGTAAGTATTAGCATAGTCAACGGGTCAGAGATCCTCTTGGTACTTCTGATCAGAGCTGCTATGAGAACTGCTTCATGAGAAGTGCTAGCAGAGTTGCTCCCTTAACTAGCTATGAGAGTTGCTTGCAGAGCTGCTGTTCAGAGGAATCATCAGAGGTGCTGCCAGAGCTGCCCTCATATAGCTATCAGAGAACCATCAGAGCCCGACTTGAGAACTGCTAATCAGAGAGTCTCATCAGACATCAAACACTTAGAAGAATTCGATGCTACCTTTCAACGGCCGTATAACTAACGGGAAATTCCCTAACGGCTAGGAGATATTTCACGAAAGGAAAGCATTTAATGCTCATTTAATGAGCCTGATACGCTGTGGAGTAATTGCAGATGATTGACCGGGATTCCTGGAGAATATTATACAAAAATAGAAACCTGCCAAATATGCGGGTCCAACCGGTCAACTCCACAGTACGCGCATTCAATGCAGTTGTCTCCTCCTCCAACGGGCAGGCAACTCCCAGTATAAAAGATACTCGACGAAGAACAATTGGATAACTTTTGCTCTCGAAATATTCAAACAAGCTCTCTTGAGATTCAAACTCCATATTCATCCTACAAGACAAAGCTTACGTTGGGAAGATTAAACCACTCAAAAGATCCTTCAACCCCAACAAAGAGCAAAGTTCCTTCAGTTCTTCAACACTTCAAGAACTTCATCAACAAATCTTTTGTGACGAAGCTAGTTGGAGAAAAACTCTGTTTTTCGAAACATCTTCTGCAAAGAAGGGCGTCCAATTAACTGGTGCAGTGAAGTGGTGATACTTCCGGGAAGCTCAGTGAAAGGACCAGCCATCAGGAAGCAGGACTGCATCCCGGGTGGCAACTAGACTTGAAGAAGACGTGGAGAGCTTCTTAAGTTCTAGGGACTAAGGCGGTGTAACTGTTGTTTTACAAGCTTAGTGGAACAGTGGACTAGAGGAACGCGTTGTTCCTTGAATCGCTATAAAAATCCCTGGTGTCATTTACTTTACTGCATTTAATTTCTGCACTTAGAATTCTAACTGTATAACTCTTAAAAACTTGGAATCTGTGTTCAGCAGATCTTGTGTTAAGAGTTATCAGAAAGACCTTTGCCTTAGTGTTTTCTTGAGGCTATCTTGACAAAACCTTAATCTGCTGCCTGGTCCAGTTCAGTCATCAGAACTCGACCATCTCTGTCATCAGATTTGGACCACCTCTTATAAGTCAGTTTTGACTTAGAGAAAAATCTGAAAAATCAAAATAGTCTATTCACCCCCCCCCCCCTCTAGGCGGTTTCATACTCAAACGGGACCAACACTCATTTCAATGCTTTGATAAAGATAAGATATTTCAATCTTTTATCTGAAGAGTTGAGTATATAAGTTGGGTGATTGTTCAATGCTTTCTTAGAATATAATATACTTGGTTTTAGTAAAACATAATGTTACAAAAAAAATATGAGGTGGTAACTTTTTTTATAAAATTGCTTTTTGTCCTTTCTTTTACTTTGACTGAAAGTTGATCTTTGTCTCATTTGACCATTTGGATCTATTTAGATTTAGATGACCCGGTTTTATAGGCAGCAGTGGGGAATTTTCCGCAATGGGCGAAAGCCTGACGGAGCAATGCCGCGTGGGGGAAATTGTGAGCATTACATTCATGCATAACTTGCATATCCCTGTATTATAATTCCATTTATATCTAAATTGCGAATTACATGGGCTTTTGTTGTCTCTTGCTTAGAATGATGAATCGAAAAAACTTTGAAACGGAATTGATCGTGATTTTAAACCTGTTCTTTCTATGACCCCTCTGAATTGAGAATAGGTTTATGGGATGAAACTCATTACCCTTTTCATCAAAATATTTTGGTCTAGTAAGAAATCTCCACAACTCCTTAATTTATCCTATCCAAAGCTTTATGATAGGACCTTATGTTTCTTATGAATATAAGATTTAAAATTTTGCTCACTTTCCAATAAAATAAAATAAAATATTTTCAAAAGTTATTTACTGATGTAAATTATTTGAAGATGCCTTGATGGTGAAATGGTAGACACGTGAGGCTCAAAATCTCATGCTAAAGAGTGACCATAATATTCTTTCTTATAATTTGGAACCAATATGTACTTGATTCAATAAGGGAATCATGAATAGTCCCATTCTATTGATCTATTAATATTGAATATTAAATATTCTATCCTATTAGTTAAAATCGTAATATAACTTATATTTTTGAGTTATACCCTGTTCAAATTCCTTGTGAAAAAACTCACAATATATGCCTGCGGCAAATGATAAATTGGGCACTAAATGTAATGAGTATATTCATTTAGTGGAAATTCATCTGAAATAGGGTGAGACTGGATGTAGCAGGATTACACCACATCTGAACCAGAATATATCTTGTGTCACCTTGTATATTCAGTTCCCACTACACACAACAGTTCTCACTCACCTTCACAACTTTCCAGTCGAACAGCTTCTTCAAAATATTGATCTGTAATCTATTCAGTTTACTTCATCCCAATCTCCTAGTTCCTTTTAGAGGAAATATGGTTGACAAATCAAAAGGATTTGAAAGTCTACTCCCCCCCCCCCAAACTTTTACCTCACATGGGGCCATCAATTGGTATCAGAACGGTTGTTCATAGAGTCAGTTTCTTAACCAGCTTATTTTGAATCAAAGATCAACCACCGATTTCCAAAACACTTATAGTCATAAGAGATGATAAACACTATATATGAAGGATATTCATTAAGAAGGAAATGGAAACAAGTAAGGAGGCAACAAGCTGTTACTCAAACTCTGGATTCACGAAGTCAAAATTGAGAAAGACATTCTCAATCAAGGGACTGCCATGATAACAAGAAGAAGAATTCAAACCTACTCTCATGACATCACCAAATCTTGCCAACATCATCAAAGAAAGATGCTCATGAAGAGGTATATTCAAACACATCTCCAATAACTCAATTTATTCAGAATGTTCAAATCATATCCCATTGGTACTTCATTCAAAAGAACATTCATATAGACCCAATCCTTTTCAAATTGAAAGATCTTAAACTTCAGAAAATCCTAATAGTAATGTTACTAAAAGGACAATATGATGATTAAAAATCATCTTAGGCTAACCGCAACCCGTCTCCGTCAATAAATCAAATTTCCAACTACTATATTCATATTTATCCTGTCAATTCAATTTTTGCTGCAATCCGGCTACCGTCAATATATTCATCTTGCAAAGTTTTTTAATTAAATTCTTATTTTTGTTATTATACATCAATTTTTTATTAATTTTTTTAGGGTTGTTAAGATTTTAAAAAGTCAAACATTCCGATGTAAAAATAAATAAATTTGAAATTTATTTTTTTATTTTTATTTCTGACTCATTTTTAAAAAATTAGTGAAAGATGTAAAAAGAATATTTTAATCATGAGATCTGAATTTAAGCACTTAAATATATTTAAGAAAAAAAATGACTCCGAAAATCTCTAACAGTTGAAATTTCATATTTTTTTTCTAACTTTATATATATAAGATTTATGTCATATGAAAGATAAAAAAAAGTTATGAATTTTGATATAATTTTTGTAAAATTTTAAGTACAAATAAAGAAGTTATAACACTTTTAATAAAAAAGAGTATTTTTTTGTTGGAGTCCTCTCTCTCTCTCTCTACATCACCGTAGCTTCCTCCCTATTTCTTTTGGTGGCTTCGTTCTTCCAGCAAGGCATAAGGCGTTAATATGGGCTGCCAAATTCTCCCTCCCCGGGGTGCTATCCTACCCATTTGGTACCTCCAAATACATGGGTTGGAAGGTTTTATGGAGTCAAAGTCTTAAATTTAGTTTTTCATACTCAAGGTTGCAGGCAGCCTTATAGGGGATAAAACAGAGTAATCTCATTTAGCACCCTTTTAACTAATGAGAATCACAAAACTGAAAAGATATTTGAATTTGGCTTCAAACACACTGTCCCAAACCTCCATAAAATACAAACTTAGTGGTCTATCCATTTTCCACAAATTTTCAGAAATAGACTAATAACCAACTACCCAAATATTTCCAATACTCACTAAAAATCCACCTTATCCT